CATCAATTTTCTTTGAGTAACAAAAAACAAAGCCTTACATGAGAAGAAGTTCAAAGCAGCATTTATCAATTTCTCTGATTTATAACAAAGTATATAAGAAAATTCTCATCGGAAACTATAAATTTTATTCTATTAAAATGAAATAATTTTCAGGAAATTCTGAAAGAAAATTGTACCGATTAATTAAATTTCTGCAGTATACATAATGATGATAGTGAATTTTGAACTGTAGTCTGTACGTTCTCTTTTTTTTTTAATACTACCCAGTGAGAAATTGCCAATAGACTTTAATCGGTCCAATATCGGTCCAATATTGGTTGCCGTGCTGGGCGCCGATTGACTCCCAATATTGGACCAATATGGGCTGATGCTTGGGATGTAACGGCATCGCCAATCATCGGTTGTCAATATTGGTCCAATATTGGCCGAATATTGGCAACCAAGAGAAAAAAAATTTTTTAAATAAATTTTTTTTAATTAAATAATAATAATAAAAAATTAATGTTTATAATTTTTGTTTAATATATTTATTTGTTTAATTATTTATTTTTAATAATTCATGTAAATAATAAATAATTTATTATTTATAAATTATAATTATTTAAAAATGCAGCAGCTATTAGAAAATAGCATTCTGCAAAAAAATTCTATCATTGAAAAATCAATGATAGGCGAGATAAATCCGCGTCTTTAAATAGATTCGCAGATGATAGACAAGAGATATCCGCGTCATTAAACGGATTCGCAGATATACTCTGGTCTCGTGACGAATCTCTCGATACTTATATACACTGGAGTCGCCGTGTCAGTTGCGAGAACGGTTACAGCGTCCCTCTTGCGGCAGAGATAAGAATTGTCACGTAAACTGCGGGTATAATAAGGCGGTCGGTAAAGCGATTTAGCAGTTTACGTGACAATTCTTATCTCTGCCGCAAGAGGGACGCTGTAACCGTTCTCGCAACTGACACGGCGACTCCAGTGTATATAAGTATCGAGAGATTCGTCGCGAGACCAGAGTATATCTGCGAATCCGTTTAATGACGCGGATATCTCTTGTCTATCATCTGCGAATCTATTTAAAGACGCGGATTTCTCTCGCCTATCATTGATTTTTCAATGATAGAATTTTTTTGCAGAATGCTATTTTCTAATAGCTGCTGCATTTTTAAATAATTATAATTTATAAATAATAAATTATTTATTATTTACATGAATTATTAAAAATAAATAATTAAACAAATAAATATATTAAACAAAAATTATAAACATTAATTTTTTGTTATTATTATTTAATTAAAAAAAAATTTATTTAAAAAATTTTTTTTCTCTTGGTTGCCAATATTCGGCCAATATTGGACCAATATTGAAAACCGATGATTGGCGATGCCGTTACATCTCAAGCATCAGCCCATATTGGTCCAATATTGGGAGCCTTTATTGGACCGATGATCGGTCTCTTGGCTCCCAATATTGGACCGATATTGGACCGGTGAGAAATTTCTCACTGGGTAAAAGGTGTAATCAACTTTCGAGAAAAGTGAGGTAAAAGAGACTTGTCAACTTGTTAGAATTTCAAAAGTCTGTCTAATAGCTTCGGAAGACATACGAGTGTCTTCTTTCCCATTTAGATTGAATCTGCATTGTTCACAAGAGGACTTCCGCTGAGAATCGGAACGCGACTTGCGATTGATATTAGCGTTGAAAGTGTTGCGAGTAACCATTGCATCATTTTAATGCGTATAGAGCCTTGTTGTTCCAAAAGCAGTTAACGACGTACTCCATGTCTGCCTGCGTGATGGCATGAAAGAAAATATTTGCAAGAGCAGTGAATGGCTGGGTCCACATTCTATCTCGAGATCCTTTCACGCAACGCATTTTCCAATCAAGTCCTCGCTTAACGAACCATCGTCTTCGACAACAAAAATTTTAGTTTCTTTATAATCTTCAAATCATCATCATCATCATCATTATATCAAACTGTCAATTTTTACAGCTAAGGCAAACTATATCATGTAAATATTCTAGCATTTATTTCGATTTCAATAAAATTTTTATACAATTTTATTAAAGTTTAAAATAAATTCTTAAACATGAATTATAACTGACAAAAATTCCATTCTATAATTTATTTTCCTCACTTTTTCCTAATTTTCATCAAAAATATTAACTTCTTTCTTATCCTACTCCTAATAAATTGAATTCCTACAAACGAATTTTATTATTCATGAAAGAATTTAAATATTTATAAAAATAATTTAATTCTTGGGAAGATTTTCATAAAATTTTTTAAATAATTCATTTCTTTCGACTAATCTTATGCATATTCTAATTTAAATAATTGAATTCCTGACAAATTTTTATTATTCACGAAAAGAATTGAATTTTTACAAAGATTTTTACAAAAAATTTTATGAAAATAATTGAATTTTGCAAAGAATTTTATTAAAATAACTCTAAATAATTGAATTTTCGGAAATAATTTTTTTATTCATCGACAAAATTGAATTCTTTAGAAGAATTATTTAAATGTATAAATAATTGAATTGTCGGGAAGAATTTTATTAAAATGTAAAAGAATAATTGAATTATTTCAAAAAAATTTAATTAAAATTCTATTTAAAATAATTGATTTCGTTCGAACAATTTCATTAAAATATTTGAAAATAATTGAATTCCTGTGAAAAATTCTAATATTTATGAAAAAAATTGAATTCTTCCAGAAAATTTTAATTAAACATTTTTTTCAATAATTGATGTTTTCCAGGACTTGAAATTAAATTTTTAAGAATAATTCCATTTTTTAAACAATTCCTGTAAAATTGTATTAAAAATAATTGAATTCCTACGAACGATTTTCAAAGAATTTTTAAAAATAATTGAATTTTTGCGTGATAATTTTGTTATTTGTAAAAAGAATTGAATTTTGCGAAAACTTTTATTAAAATTCCTAAAAATAATTGAATTTTCAAGAATAATTTTGTTTTGTTAAATAATTGAATTCTTCTAATAAATTTTAAAGAATCATTTATTTAAATAATTGATTTTTTCAAGGAATTTAAATTCAATTTTTAAGAATAATAAATTACATTTTGTTAGAAATTCCTGTAAAAATTGTATTATTTATGAAAATAATTGAAAACTTGCAAAGAATTTTATTATTTACGAAAATAATTGAATTCTTGCGAACGATTTTATTAGAACTTCAAAAATAATTAAATTTCCACAAAACATTTGTAAGTTTTAAAAATAATTAAAATCTTGTGATGAATATTGTTATTTATGAAAATAATTAAATTTTTCAAAGAAGTTTATTCAAATTTTTAAGAATAATTGAATTTCAGAGACAGATTTTATTATTTATAAAAATAATTGAATTTCTATAAACTATTTTGTTACTTTTGAAAATAATTGAATTCCTGAGAAGGATTTTATTATTTATAAAAATAATTGAATTCTTGCATCGAATTTTATTAAAATTTTTAAAAATAATTAAATTTCTATAAACAATTTTGTTACTTTTGAAAATAATTGAATTTCTGAGAAGGATTTTATTATTTATAAAAATAATTGAATTCTTGCAACAAATTTTTTTTAAAACTTTTAAAAATAATTGAATTTCTTTAAAAAATTTTGTTATTTTTAAAAATAATTTAATTTATTCTTTGGTAAGAATTTTATTAAAATCTAAAAGAATAATTGAATTATTGCACAAAAATTTTAATTAAAATTGTTTTTAAAATAATTGATTTCTATCGAACAATTTTATTAAAATATTTTAAAATAATTGAATTCCTGTAAAAAAATTCGAATACTTTTGTAAATAATTGAATTCTTCTAATGAATTTTAAAGAATCAATTATTTAAATAATTGATTTTTTCAAGGAATTGAAATTAAATTTTTAAGAATAATTAAATTTTTTAAGCAATTCCTGTAAAATTGTATTAAAAATAATTGAAATCATGCGATGAATTTGAAAATAATTGAATCGTTGCTAAGAATTTTATTAAAATTTTCAAAAACAATTTAATGCCTTAGAATTTTCTTATTTATGAAAATAATTGAATTTCTGTGAAAAATTTTGTTATTTTTGAAAATAATTGAATTCTTCAGAAGAATTTTATAAAAATTGTTTTAAATAATTTTTTTTTTGAATTATAATACATATATGAAAATTTTATTATAATTAATTGAATTCTTGTGAAAAACTTTATTTGTAAAAATAATTAAATTTTTCGATTAATTAATTTAAAATAGTATTAAAAATAATTGAAATTTTTCGATGAGTTTTATTATTTATGAAAGTAATTTAATTCTTGCCAAGAATTTTAGAAAAATATAAAAAAAATTTCTATGAAAAATGTTATTTAAAGAATTTGATTATAATTTTTGAAAATACTTTTTTGATTTCTAGTATTATCGAATTTAATGTAGTGGAAATTAAAAAAAAACAAAAATAATAGCTTTTAGTGTCTGAAACCTAAAAAAAAGTACCCAAATAGTAGCATAACACAAAAAAGTAATAAATAGTAGGTTTTAGTAGATGAGTTGTCACAAAAATTTAATTTTGTTTTTCTCTGATTTCCAGACAAAATTTTGATTTTTCCTGTGACCCAAAAAAAATATTTCCATTCACTCTAAAAATTATTAGATACTAAAAAAATGCTCAAAAAAAAAATGTTAAAATGTTACATTTATTTACAATACTCTTTAATTGTAGAATTATTCAAAAACATCAGTAACTTCTGTTTTAATGAAATATTTAATCATTATTATTTTTCCATAAGTCATAAAAAATTCCAAAACATACAGTGGCTTCAGTAAACCTCTATAACGTATACTCATTATTATTTTTTCATAAGTCACAAAAAATGTGAAACATACAGTGGCTTCAGTAAACCTCTAACGTATGCACGAAGCTAGAATCGATCGGTACACGAGGCAGTGTAAGAAATGATAAGAGAAGAGAATGGTGAGTGACAAAACAAAAAAAATTGCTCACCCAACTGCTTTGACGCATATTGCTGCAGCAGACGCGTCCGTTTCTTCTCATAACCCTTTTGCGTTATGTCCCCTGAAACACATAAAGACAAAAATGAGAATGCTGTGTACTCTCAAAAACTCGGATCATCAAGAAACTTTTGAATATTAAGCATAGTGACAAACTGCAATAAAAAAGGGAATTATTAATGGGAGGAAAAAAAGTTTTCCAGTGCACATGTGAAATTAATGAGATCGTCGCATATGAAAAACAAGGCACTTGTTCAGCTTCCTTCACGTATACACTAGAAAAGCTGCCATCTCAAGGCAATCAAGGAATTCACACCCAGCTATTACACAGCAATTTTATTTTTTATGATGCTTTGCATTTGAAAATATTATAGCAAACAAATATGTAAAATAACAAAACGTAATCAAGATGACATAAAATATTCTGTAAATTTAAATCAGGTAAAAATGACTCATTTAGAAACAAAACGTTAATCAATAATTCGAGTACAGTTATGTTTATGTATTTCTTTTTCTACTCATTATTTTGTAAAAAATAATTTATTTTCAGTTAAAAAAACAATCAGGGTTCCTACATAAATCCGAATTTAAAATTCCATACCTTTTCCATGATTTCCAGGTTAAATTTTTAGGAAATTCCAGTGGAATTTTAAATTTAATTTCCACGTCGTGTAATAAAAATATATTATATCTTAAAATTTCTAATTGAATTTCTATTCAAGAGAAAAAATGGAAAGCAGGAAAAAAAATATTTAATAATCTCCACCCTTTGGTAAAAAATTAAGAATTTTTAAAAATTATCAAAAATTCAAAAAACCGAATTTCTTAAAATTCAACATTTTCTCTTCTGTTTTATGGCATTTAGCTTCAACATTTTTGGGCTTTTCAAAAACACTTTACTTATTTAATTTTCTTCGCACTTTGGTAGAAAATGAAAAAATTTTAAACTATCAAAACTTCAAAAAACTGAATTTCTTAAAATTTAACATTTTTTCTTCTGTTTTATGGCATTTAGCTTCAATATTTTTGTGCTCTTCAAAAACACTTCACTTATTTAATTTACTCCCACCTTTGGTAAAAAATCTAAAATCCCGTGTAGAAATCACCATGCTATGCCTAAAATGATTATTGGCCCTAGCTTGGACCTAACTTGGCAACCCCTTTTTATATACCCTGGGCTGGTCCTAACTTGGTACTAGCTAGGAGATCCAGTTATGACTTAGAAAAATTTTTAGGAAAATAAAGTGTCAAAATTGATACATGAAAAACATGTAAAAATTGATAAATATTCTCAATTAATATTTATAAAATTAATTGATAATCATATTTGTTTAAACAATTTATTGTTTGACATAAATCAGAAAATTATACAAATACTATAAAATAAAGTTAATTTATTAATTTATTAATTCAGCAATTGTTTAAACAAATAATTGTTATTTACTAACTTTTTACACAATCAACCTAGAAACTAGCAGTTTTTTCTAATTTTGCAATAAGTAAATACTCAGATTAGTTAATTGCAAAGTTTTAAAAGACTACAAGTGTCTAGACGCTTTATTGTCTTAAGAATTAATAAATAACAACAATTTTTTGTTTAAACAAATGCTGAATTGTTAAAATTATAAATTATCTTCATATTTCACTACTCAAGTGTAATAATCGCGAAGTTAAATAAAAAACTGCAAATTTTTAAGTAATTTGTTACAAAAGTTAATAAAACAGCAAAATTTATTTATTTATTTAAACAGATACAGACTGTAATATAATTATCATTAGTAAAATATATTTCTAATTTCGTTCGCTGATTTTAAGTTTCGTTTAAGTTGCTGCTAAACACTAAGAGATATTGCAATTCGAATGTGGGCTGACCCACCCAGGTCCAACCCAGGACCTACCTGGGTTTCCTAGTTTCATTAGCAAAAATTTCTAAGTCCAAGTCTAAAAAATTTTTTGCAACAAAAAATTAATGCTTAAAATGATTTAGAATAATGAAAGACGTGTTTTTAACATAAATTTTTTTGACATTTTTTTAAAAAGTGGATTACCCGCTTAATTAATTAGGAAAAATTTCCAAGTCCAAAAGAGGAATATTTTTTTTAGACCAAGAAATTAATGTTAAAAATGATTGAGAACAATCAAAAACCTGTTTTTAACGAAAATGTACAGATATTTTTTTTCTTGATATAATATAAAAATATTAATTTTTGATTTTTTATATTTGGATATTATTTTATTATTATTGTTGTTTTTAAACTATTTTTTTTATTTATTATCGTGTATTAGTGTCAATAATTACTATATTGAATCATCAAAAGCAAGTCAACAAGTCACTGACAATAAAAATTTTAATCTCAACTAGTTTCATTAGCATAGTGGTTAGGGCGTTAGTCTCGTAGTCCGTAGGTCGTAGGTTCGATTCCCGCGTGCGCTAGATTTTATTTACTTCTTAGGTTTGCGTTTATTCCGATTTTTCTGCATTGTATTCGTATAAGTATGCAATTTAATGATTATATATACTGTAAAATAATTTAATTAACAAATTTCTAATTTTTTTCAAATTTTTAATGTATATATTAGAGGAATATATATTAATCTCTGCATATACTAACATTATTTATGAATTAGCTTTTGGTCATCATTTAATTGAAAAAAATAATAATTAATTAAAACTAATACTTATTATTAATAATTAAGGTTATTTCTTTAACAAATATTATAAACTAATTAAAATTATAATGAAATAGAAAATACTGTCTGAGATGGTCCTTTCTAGGTCCTAAAATGGACCCATAAACTGGTCCTAACTAGGCTCCCAAGTTAGGACCAGGCTAGAATCGAATCACCAGCCATTGTTGGTCCAACCTACACTGCCAACCTAGGACCAAGCTATTAACAGGGCAAAATAGGTAGGACCTGGCTAGGACCAATTTTCATTTTCCACACGGGATTTCTTAAAATTATCAACAATTCAAAAAACCGAATTTCTTAAAATTCAACATTTTTTCTTCATTTTTATGGCATTTAGCTTCAATATTTTTGTGCTCTTCAAAAACACTTCACTTATTTAATTTTCTTAACCCTTTTGTAAAAAATTAAAAATTTTTAAAAATTATCAAAAATTCAAAAACCCGAATTTCTTAAAATTCAACATTTTCTCTTCTTTTTTAATGGTATTTAGCTTCACTATTTTTGGGCTCTTGAAAAAAACTTTACTTATTTAATAGTCTCCACTTTTTGGTAAAAAATCTGAAATTGTCAAAAATTATCAAAAATTCGAAAAACCGAATTTCTTAAAATTCAACATTTTTTCTTCTGCTGTATGGCATTTAGCTTCAATATTTTTGTGCTCTTAAAAAATACTTTACTCATTTAAATTTCTCCACCCTTTGTTAAAAAACTAAAAATTTGTAAAAATTTTCAAAAATTCAAAAAACCGAATTTCTTAAAATTTAACATTTTTTCTTCTGTTTTATGGCATTTAGCTTCAATATTTTTGTGTTCTTCAAAAACACTTCACTTATTTAATTTACTCCCACCTTTGGTAAAAAATCTAAAATTTCTTAAAATTATCAACAATTCAAAAAACCGAATTTCTTAAAATTCAACATTTTTTCTTCATTTTTATTGCATTTAGCTTCAATATTTTTGGGCTTTTCAAAATCACTTTACTTATTTAATAGTCTTCACTTTTTGGTAAAAAATCTGAAATTGTCAAAAATTATCAAAAATTCGAAAAACCGAATTTCTCAAAATTCAACATTTTTTCTTCATTTTTATGGCATTTAGCTTTAATATTTTTGTGCTCTTAAAAAATACTTTACTCATTTAAATTTCTCCCACCTTTGGTAAAAAATTTAAAATTTCTTAAAATTATCAAAAATTCAAAAAACCGAATTTCTTAAAATTCAACATTTTTTCTTCATTTTTATGGCATTTAGCTTCAATATTTTTGGGCTCTTCAAAAACACTTTACTTATTTAATAGTCTCCACTTTTTGGTAAAAAATCTGAAATTGTCAAAAATTATCAAAAATTCGAAAAACCGAATTTCTTAAAATTCAACATTTTTTCTTCTGCTGTATGGTATTTAGCTTCAATATTTTTGTGCTCTTAAAAAATACTTTACTCATTTAAATTTCTCCACCCTTTGTTAAAAAACTAAAAATTTGTAAAAATTTTCAAAAATTCAAAAAACCGAATTTCTTAAAATTTAACATTTTTTCTTCTGTTTTATGGCATTTAGCTTCAATATTTTTGTGCTCTTCAAAAACACTTCACTTATTTAATTTACTCCCACCTTTGGTAAAAAATCTAAAATTTCTTAAAATTATCAACAATTCAAAAAACCGAATTTCTTAAAATTCAACATTTTTTCTTCATTTTTATGGCATTTAGCTTCAATATTTTTGGGCTTTTCAAAAACACTTTACTTATTTAATAGTCTCCACTTTTTGGTAAAAAATTTAAAATTTCTTAAAATTATCAAAAATTCAAAAACCCGAATTTCTTAAAATTCAACATTTTCTCTTCTTTTTTAATGGTATTTAGCTTTATTGTTTTTAAACTCTTCAAAAACACTTTACTTATTTAATAGTCTTCAACCCTTGGTATAAAATTTAAAATAATTAAAAATTATCAAAAATTCGAAAAACCGTTTTTTTTTAAATTCAACAATAATTGAATTTTGCAAAATAATTGAATTTCTAGAATGAATTTTATTATTTATAAAGATAATTGAAATTTTGACAAGAATGTTATTAAAATTCTTTGCAAATAATTGAATTTCTGCGAAGAATTTTATTACTTTTGAAAATAATTGAATTTTTAGGATGAATTTTAATAAAATTTTTTAGAATAATTACATTTTTCGAAAAATTCCATTAAAATTTGTATTAAAAATAATTGAAATTTTACGATGAGTTTTATTATTTATGAAAATAAATGAAAACCTATAAAGTATTTTATTATTTATGACAATAATTGAATCACTGTAAAAAAAATTTGATTATTTATGAAAATAAATGAAAACCTATAAAGCATTTTATTATTTATGAAAATAATT